CATGCTGCCATCTTATCCACAAACAAACTGGTGATAACTTTACTCATTATAATCAGCCTTGAATGCTCCGCCACTTGGAAACATTCAGGAGCTCAAACTGCTTCGTGTGAAATCCTCCTCACTCAACGGACCCAGCGACGACGTGCAGCTCACCCACCCCGCCAGAGCTGCGGCCCCGGGTGCTGCAGGTGCCCCCCTACCACGCGGAAGGGCATGGAGCAACCTTGTGGCCCCACAGCCTTCAACTGGCTGCCCACGCCAGGCTCTACAGCCTGCACACGCATCACCTTACCCAGGTGGTGAAAGGACAGCGACACCGGCCACAAAGCTCGCTGCGGCCACCTGTGCCAGGAACGACTGACAGCCTGACAACCACCGTTAGTTAGAACAGGCAGAGGAGGGAGGCAGAGGGCGCGGGGTGGTTCCAGGTGTCCCATCCCTCGCTGCCGCCCGTCACGGCGGCACATTAAACCGCCGACTCCTCCCCACAGCGGGGCCGGACCGTGGGCTCTGCGCCGCAGCGGGCGTGACGGCGCCACGTGCCACAACTTCCCGCCCGCCACAAAGGCGGCCTTGGGCACGGATGCGAGTTGAGCTCTAACCTCGCAACGTGCTCCAGTGCTCCTCCCTCCAGGCTACCTCCCTTGGAAGATAGAGTGAAGCCAAACAGAAAAAAAAAATAAACAAAACCAAAAGCAAAACAAAACTTTGGTAGTAATAAAATAGCTTGAGTCCGGGCTGTTTTGCCCCGGGGCGTCAGCAGAGGCGGGAAGCGGCACCGATGGTGGCTGCGCGCCTCAGCCCTGCCGTCACACACGACAGAAGGAACAGTGGAACAGGGTCATCAGGCAAAGCCTAGTCTAAATTCATGGGAAAAGGGTTGATTTAAAGGTGAACAACTAATGCTTTTTCTCCTTGCAGGCAAGGCTGCTGCAATAGTCCTCAAGGGAGGTTACATGCCAGCCAAGCATTACTGTTGCAATAATTTAACAACCTCTAGAAAACTCAGTCTGATGATGGAGGAATAACGTTTACTTTGGCAAGAGGTGCTTTTAGCATCCTTGCTACACTGAGACACTCTTCAAAAGAGGAACTATAACTGAGGATAAACAAGAGATGCTCTCATTTTAAAACTATACCTGACCTAGAATTAGCATAATATGGTTTTGGTGTATGTTATTTTTTGCCAAAGAAATTTGCATTCTTCTTCCAAGAAGACGCTGCGGAGCCAAGCCAAAATAGAGATTCTTCATGACTGTGCTCCTGCGATGACACTCACTGGAGAACACAGGGCATTTCCCATCGATTGTAACCAGCAGTGACATCACTGATATAACTCACAATGAAGAAAATACACATTATAGAAACTATGCATTTACCTGCTCCAAAAATACCTGTCACTGTAGCGAGCTGTGCATTGTCAGTAATATCCAACACATTGCTAGTTCCTCTCCCCCTCAACAAACTTTCAAAACTGGGATTTGTCATGAACAACGTGGAGGTGCGAGGAGTTACGTGACAGCAAGTCTGCATCAGACTCCCACGTAGAACTCTTACACTAACAAGGACAAAAATACAGATGACGCACGACTGGCAATCACACTGCAACGCGTACAGTTGCGTTGCCAAGGCACGGGTGTGAAGCCCCCATCTTTCTGCTTTTTGGCAACTAAATTCAGAAACGAGGTGTTCAGCTGGAGCCAGCAAGCGTTTCAGAGTAACACAGCAAATACTGCACACACACACACCCCGTTAACGCATCACCCGTGTACACCACAGCCCGCAACGACGCAACGGGCACTCCCGCTCTGACTCGGGAAGCACACGGCTCAGGATTCCACCTTGGCTGCCGTGGACCTGGGCAAGGTCTGAAGGAGCTGGTTGCAGTAGAAGTTGTTCTGAACCTTGCAAAAGGCCTGCAGCTGAAACTGGGAGGGAAAGGTCCACCTGCTGCTCCACAACCAACACCCTGGCAACACCAGACCACTGGCACAGGTAACTTGGCTTTGTAAGAGGGCAATCCCAAGCAATGGGAGTCCTACAGCTTCCTTCCAAAAAGTTCCCTGTACCTCATTTCTCCCTTTCTTATTTTAATTCCATTATTCCATGCTCTATTTCCTAGAACTATTAGCATTGATTCATTTCTTATATGTAGCTCACACTCTGCAATCTAGTATTTCTTCCACTGAATCATCACATAAAATTACTTGTCCTCAAACCCATTAGCAAATGCTGTGTGTGGGGGTGCGGAGGCGTCGCTCCCCGGGCGGCAGCATGGGGGCTGCAATACACACGTGACATTCCCTCCTTGCCCCACTCCCTCCCTGCCGGCCGCCTGCTGAGAGCATTTTACTATGTACAGGTCTGTCCCACTGCTCCGGTTCCTGCCTGGGCCAGCGACAGCCCCTGGCTTCTGCCCTCACCCCCTCACACAGGGTGGCGCGGGTCGTGCCGCACGTCAAGCCAGCTGAGGGGAGTGTTATTTTAAAAGTGCCCAAAACCATTATTTTAAATTAAGCTTTAAGGGGAAATCTCAAAGGGCAAAACTAGGATGTAAAAAAACCCCCGTTTTCCAGTCCATTTTCCCTCCCTCTCAAATTACTGTTTTCTGCTGAAAAATATCTAATATCAGCATTTTGAAGAAAAAACCACAGGGATCATTCTCTACTTCATGTAAGCTGCCTTTCACGTTGAATGAAGTTTTCTCTTCCTGAATCCATATGCTTCACATAACTGCTGGCTTCCTACAGCACAATCTTTTAGGACTCAGTGTTCACTAACTGTCAGTAGATCCATCAAAGGCTTCACAAATGGAATCACACCTCCTGTGGAACCGACGGCAGGACTGTAGGAGACCTCGGCAGGGTTAAAGGTCAGCTGCAAATGTACCTTTCACTAGCTCCAGCATCAGGTTCTTCCAATGAGGGTTCCTAGAGAAGAGTTCAGTAACGGTAGCACCTTTAAGACAAGTCAGGCTTCACAGCAAACACCAATATTCAATATCCTAAGTGTTTACGATGACAGATAATACTCTAAAGATTTGTCTTGTCTACTTACTAAAATAAACTGTTCTAGCACACACTGGATTGGTTTAACTTTCTTCAAACTGATGTAAAACCCCGTGGTTGGTTACTCAACACATGCTCAAATAAACACTTGAAGTTTTCTCTGACAGAAAAAAAAAATTAAAAAAAATTACATCATCTACCAAATTTTATTGCTGCCATTTGACATGGCTTCATATAACATACTATCAAACCCACAACGGCTCCCCTCTGGGAAAGGCAATTCTTTCAGAAGTGTGTGTGGGACAGGGAACCCTCTCTGCCCCTCTTGTCTTACCAACAATTGTTAGTGGTGGTTTTTGGAAAGCAACCCATTTGGAATGACCACTCTAAGGCACCACCAGCGTTTGATTTTCTTTTAGCCATTCACCTGTTTTCATCAGTGTGGCACTAAAAAAAGGAGACCAGTAAATGTTCAGTCTTTTATTTAAAAACTATAAACAGTCACCAAAGTAAATAAAGCCATTCTATAACATAAACTGTTAGGTCTATATTTTTACTGCACATCCTACGGACACAGCAGAAATGGTGGTCGGGAGGTCTTCCACATTTTTGGATGCTAATAGAACAGGCAATAGGCAGTTATAAATGGATACACTTCACGCTGGGAAAAAAAGACAATTTAAGGAAGTGAGCAATTTCTGAGCAGGAAAGAGGT